TTATAGCGGGGCTGGCTGCTCTACACGTGCCAAAGGACGTTGGCTTGAACAGAGGTCACTTGAAGCGAACGTGTTTTCAAGCTTCGAATTTGCCGCGCTTCTGCTATGAGTGAGAAGCGGTGGCTGCTCTGCATGTGCCAAAGGACGAGAACCTGAGCGGTCACAGAAGGAAGGGAGTGGAGAAAGGGGGGGGGGGGGGTACAGCTGAGGGTTACAGGTGAGGATTACAGGTGAGGATTACAGGTGAGGATTACAGGTGAGGATTACAGGTGAGGATTACAGGTGAGGATTACAGGTGAGGATTACAGGTGAGGATTACAGGCGAGGATTACAGGCGAGGATTACAGGTGAGGATTACAGGTGAGGATTACAGGTGAGGATGATATGTCAACAACGGGCGTGTCAACCCGCAGCGCGCTCAAATTGGAGTGTCAAATACTGTAGCTGAAGTGTCAAGTCGAAGCGCATGTACGAACATCAGCGACAGAATTTCATTGGTTAGAGAAGTTGTCATTTGTTTATTTCCGGCGGTGTCTGCTGATTGGGCAGAATCTGGTCGTGAGATAGGCAGCTGCGACAATCTTATCTCGTTTGTAGGTATGATGACTGCAAAAATCAAAAGTGTCCGACGATTTTTATTGGTTGCCAACATGCAAATTCTTGACACTCTGCCAACATTGTTGGCTGAGTGTCAAAATGCCAAATTGACACTGCCCACTTTGACATGTCATCCCTACGGACATGACCTTACAGGGGAGGGGATGTGTTAGCTGGGCATTATACCTGAGCATTATAACTGGGCCAAAGGACGAGAACCAGAGGGAACACCTGAAGGAACATCTGAGGGAACACCTGGGGGTGTGAAGTTACGAACACGGGGTGGCAACCCCAATGAAACTAACCACGAGAGTAACCCTACCACGAGTTGGTAACCCTACCATGAGCTGGTAACCCTACCATGAGCTGGTAACCCTACCATGAGCTGGTAACCCTACCACGAGTTGGTAACCCTACCATGAGCTGGTAACCCTACCATGAGTTGGTAACCCTACATGAGCTGGTAACCCTACCATGAGCTGGTAACCCTACCATGAGTTGGTAACCCTACCATGAGCTGGTAACCCTACCATGAGCTGGTAACCCTACATGAGCTGGTAACCCTACCATGAGCTGGTAACCCTACCATGAGCTGGTAACCCTACCATGAGCTGGTAACCCTACCATGAGCTGGTAACCCTACATGAGCTGGTAACCTTACCATGACCTGGTAACCCTACCATGAGCTGGTAACCCTACCACGAGTTGGTAACCCTACCACGAGTTGGTGGTCTTACCACGAGTTGGTAGCCCTACCATGAGCTGGTAACCCTACCATGAGCTGGTAACCCTACATGAGCTGGTAACCCTACCATGAGCTGGTAACCCTACCATGAGCTGGTAACCCTACCATGAGCTGGTAACCCTACCATGAGCTGGTAACCCTACATGAGCTGGTAACCTTACCATGACCTGGTAACCCTACCATTAGCTGGTAACCCTACCACGAGTTGGTAACCCTACCACGAGTTGGTGGTCTTACCACGAGTTGGTAGCCCTACCATGAGTTGGTGATCTTATTCGGCTCCTACAGGTCTTGAGGCGATATCTCTGTGATCACTACACCCAGTGTGAACAGCAAGGGGGTTCAGGTTACGAACATAGAGGTGGTAACCCCAATGTTGTAACCTTACCACGAGTTGGTAACCCTACCATGAGTTTGTGATCTTATTTGGCTCCAGCAGGTCTCGAGGCGAGATTTGTGTGATCACTACACCCAGAGGCGCCTCAAAGCTCCCGAAATAGTAACGAGACGTGCTACTAGCGAGTACGTTGCTGCTGCTGCCACTGCTGCCGCTGCTGTTACTGTCACTGTAGCTGCTTCTGCCTCTGCTGCTGCTGCTGCTACTGCTGCTGCTCCTCCTCCTCCTCCTCCCGATGCTGCTCCCACGGCCCCCAAGCATACCACTTCCTGATTCCCTCCCCTGAGGAAACTCATACACCTCCTTGACATTCCAATGCTGCTGCCTGTGATTCCCCCAATGTGTCCACTCTGGCTGATGCTTATGCGTCTGCTTCTGCTGGTGCATATGCTTCGCCACATGATGCCTGTGTCCCACGTGCTGCTGATCACCCATAAGCAGCCTGCTACCCACATGCTGCTTCTCATAACCCAACCTATGCGCGGCAGGCACTGCTCTTTCCTCTATCTTTTCCAGTTTCCTTCCCCCTTCCTTCCGCCAGGACCCCCATCCCAGCAGCATTCTCCCCTTCCGTCCTTGCCTCACTCTCCCCAAACTTCCCCTGCTGCTCCTCATCCCAGTCCTCTCCGATTTCCTCCCCACTTTCCTTCCCCCTTTCCTCCCCCCTCCCCGCCCCCCCCTCCCCGCCCCCCCTCTCCCATCCCTGCTGTCGCTGCTGCTGCCACCACCACTGCTCCAAGAGCTGCTTTGATCTGTGCCGTCCGTTGGGTTAGGATCAACGGTGCCGACCGTTGGATGTGGATCAAACAAAGACAGACCCAATGAACGGTCCACAGGCAGTGACACCCAATCTAACGGCTCAGATTCTCCTGCCTCCCCCTCCTCACTCCCTATATTTTCCCCCTCACTATCCCCTCTCACTCCCCCTCCCGGCTCCTCCCAAGCCTCTGCCGCAAAACCCAGACCTGCAGGCTTGGCAACAGCCCTGGTAGGCTTGGAAGAACTGGCAGCAGCGTTGCCGAGCCTGTCTTCTAGGCCCGTTCCCACCAAGCCTGGGGCTTGCCAGTCCGTTGTAGGGCCAAAGTCAGGTGTGTGAAAGTCAGAACCCATGGCCGATAGTTGTGCTGGTGTCGCTGCTGCTGTGAGTGAAGCTGCCTTGGCTCTGCTGTGGTTGAGAAAAGGAGGGCGGGGTTGGGGGGAGAATTGGGGGACAAGAGGCATGGAAGGTGCATGGAAAAAGTTTTGAGACTTTGATCAAATCACTTTGGAGAATGACTTTTGAGTCGACTCAAAACGAGGTGACTTTTGAGTCGACTCAAGAGGGCGCGGTTGGGGGAGAATTGGGGGAGAATTGGGGGAGAATTGGGGGAGAATTGGGGGAGAATTGGGGGAAAAGAGACATGGAAGGTTGGGCAGCTTCACTCACAGCAGTTTTGAGACGTTGATCAAATCACTTTGGAGAATTCCCAAAAGCGATTCCAACATGGTGTTTTGAGACGTCTCAAAACACTTCTTCAATCACATGAAAGGTGCGAGTTTTGAGACTTTGATCAAATCACTGTGGAGAATTCCCAAAAGATATCCCAACATGGTTTGGCAGAGAGTTGGGGGAGAGCGACATGGAAGGTGCAAGCTTTGAGACTTTGGTCCACAACAACCCCCCTGTCCGTCTTGACATGACTTTTCAAACTACCCACCTCACATCACCCACCCTTACCACAGCAGTTTTCCCCATACCACACCGCACCGCACCACTGCTCACCTCCCTCCTGCAGGGCAGCTCTGGGTGCGGCCGATGAACTGGCATCGGGCCACAACGACGCCCGTATCCGTCTTGACGTGGATGGCGAGGCCTGTATCAGCAAGCAAACCCCTTTGCACTCTCCCTCACCACTGCTCACCTCCCTCCACCTGGACAGGCTTGGGTGCGGCCGATGAACCGGCACCGATCCACAACGATACCCGTGTCTGTCTTGATATGTATGGAGAGACCATTGTCGATGAATGTGGAGGATTGGATGGTCATGAGACGTGTGATGTGCAGAAACATGCTGGTGAGGCAGGAGGGGGGGTTGGGGTGGGGGAGAGAGTGGGGGTGGAAAAGTTTTAGTCTTGACGTGGATGGCTAGGCCGTTGTCAATGAATGTGGAGGATTGGATGGTCATGAGACGTGTGATGTGCAGAAACATGCTGGTGAGGGGAGGGGAGGGGGGAGGAGAGAGTGAGTGGGGTGGAAGAGGTATAAGAGGAGGAGAGAGTGGGTATGGGGAGCATATAGTCTTGATGTGGAAGGTGAGGCCATGGCTGATGATGACGAGAGAGGAGTGGATGGTCATGAGATGCGTGATGAGCAGACGCATGGTGGGAGAAGGGGCCTTGGGGAGGGGAGGGGGATGTTATATGGGGAAAGAGTGGGTGTGGGAAGCAGGAAGATTGGATGGTCATCAGATGAGTGTCTGAAAGAGGGTAGGGGGTTTGGAGGAGTTTGAAAGGGGAGAGAGAGGAAGAGTGGTGAGAGGGGGAGAGAGATGGGAGGGGGAGGGGGAGGGAGAGAGTGCGTAAGGGAAAAGAGCATCGCCTTGATGTGGATGGGAAGAGCATCGCCTTGATGTGGATGGGAAGAGCATCGCCTTGATGTGGATGGAGAGGGAGGATTGGATGGGAAGAATGTGTCGAGGGATCGCTTCGCTAGTGCTCGTGTGCCATTGTAACGAGGTGACTCTTGAGTCGACTAAAAAGCCATGCGAAGAATGTGTGTCGAGGGATCGCTTCGCTAGTGTGCGAGCCAGTGTGTGACTCAACCAACTTCATTGCGGTAGATGAGGAAATTGGATAGGGTCACCTGCATGCACACGCGCACACACATGCACACGCACACGCACACACACACACACATGCACGCGCCCACACGCATGTACACACACACAGACACACACGCACATGCAGACGCACCCCCCCCTACCGGTGACTCACCCAACTTCATTGCGGTAGATGAGGAAATTGGATAGGGTCACCTGCACGCATAAACGCACACACAGCAAGAGAGCAGGGGCGCAAAGGGGATAGCTTAAGAGCTGCACACACACACTCAGGTGCTGTAGCATAAAAGAGAAAGTCCTAGGTGTTCCTCTGCGCACACACACTCGGGTGTTCCTCTGCGCACACACACTCGGGTGCACTAACCCTCGCACCAGGAGCGTTAGGGAACATGCCACACACTCCAGGCCACGGGGGAAGAAGAAGAATTCAAACTTGGTTGGTCTGTATGTATGGTGTGGGCTGAATGCTGCTTTGCAACCGGCAAGAAAGAGCACTCACTCGCACACTCACACACAGGTGCACTCACCCTAGCACCAGGAGCAAAGGGGAACATGGCGCAGGGGTAGGAGCAGAACCCAAACTTGGCTGAATGTGCCACATTCCCTGAGTAAAGGCCAAACTTGGTTTCTATGGGACTCATGCCGTGGCACTAGCAAGAAGACAAGCATGCGCACTGGCACGCACAGTAGCATGTACACTCACCCTGGCACCAGGAGCGTAGGGGAACATGCCGTGGGGGCAGGAGCGGAACCCAAACTTGGCCTCTATGGTACGGAGTGCATGCATGCTGTGGCATTAGCAAGCACGAGCACTAGCACGACAGTAGCACTCACCCTAGCACCGGGCGCATAGGGAAACATGCCATGGGGGTAGGAGCGGAACCCAAACTTGGCTGAATGCGCCACATTTCCCGAGTAAGTGCCGAACTTGGTTTCTATAGGGTGCATGTTGCGGGCGTTGGGTAGGAGCTGGGATAGACCCCTCATCCCCTCCTTAAGCTCCGTCCAGTACCTGTTACAGGAGGTGCAGATTGTGACAAAACATTGGCAAGAAAGTACAAAAAGAATCACACAAATCAAGGCAAGGGCGAAGTAAGTGCGGAGATACATAGATGGACCCTGCATCCCCACCTTAAAGGCCACACCCAGAATTACACAACGGAGTCAACGAAAAAATTGTAGGTTCGGGAAACCCCAGAGACACGTTCGGTGGGGAAATCGAGAACCAATCGCGTCAAAAACCCACTCAAAACCTTCGACCAATCACACGAAAGTGGTGACAGTTTTGGGGCCAACACGGTAATTCTGGATTGTGTCCTTTAAGCTGCTGCTCATTACCTGACAAAAGGATGCACAAATGACAAATTGAGACAAGTAGCTGATTTTTTCTCTTCAATGCAGCCGTTGTTGGGTTTTGGCAAATCACAATCCTCATTCACTCAATCACTCACCCCGAGTCCTCCGACCCAGCAGCCACGTTTTTAATGCAGTCGCTGTTGGGGTTGGCCCTCCAGAACGTGCTACCTGCACCATCGCATCACCCACTCTTTCCCTGCTGCTCCAAACATCACTACACCCCTACTCACTCACTCACTCACTCACTCACTCACCCTGAATCCTCCGACCCAGCAGCCACGTTATCAATGTAATCATTGTTGGGGTTGGCCCTCCAGAACGTGCTACCTGCACCATCGCATCACCCACTCTTTCCCTGCTGCTCCAAACATCACTACACCCCTACTCACTCACTCACTCACTCACTCACTCACCCTGAATCCTCCGACCCAGCAGCCACGTTATCAATGTAATCATTGTTGGGGTTGGCCCTCCAGAACGTGCTACCTGCACCATCGCATCACCCACTCTTTCCCTGCTGCTCCAAACATCACTACACCCCTACTCACTCACTCACTCACTCACTCACCCTGAATCCTCCGACCCAGCAGCCACGTTATCAATGTAATCATTGTTGGGGTTTACCCTCCAGAACGTGCTACCTGCACTGCACCATCGCATCACCCACTCTTTCCCTGCTGCTCCAAACATCACTACACCCCTACTCACTCACTCACTCACTCACCCTGAATCGTCCGACCCAGCAGCCACGTTATCAATGTAATCATTGTTGGGGTTGGCCCTCCAGAACGTGCTACCTGCACCATCGCATCACCCACTCTTTCCCTGCTGCTCCAAACATCACTACACCCCTACTCACTCACTCACTCACTCACTCACCCTGAATCCTCCGACCCAGCAGCCACGTTATCAATGTAATCATTGTTGGGGTTGGCCCTCCAGAACGTGCTACCTGCACCATCGCATCACCCACTCTTTCCCTGCTGCTCCAAACATCACTACACCCCTACTCACTCACTCACTCACTCACTCACCCTGAATCCTCCGACCCAGCAGCCACGTTATCAATGTAATCATTGTTGGGGTTGGCCCTCCAGAACGTGCTACCTGCACCATCGCATCACCCAATCTTTCCCTGCTGCTCCAAACATCACTACACCCCTACTCACTCACTCACTCACCCTGAATCCTCCGACCCAGCAGCCACGTTATCAATGTAATCATTGTTGGGGTTGGCCCTCCAGAACGTGCTACCTGCACCATCGCATCACCCACTCTTTCCCTGCTGCTCCAAACATCACTACACCCCTACTCACTCACTCACTCACCCTGAATCCTCCGACCCAGCAGCCACGTTATCAATGTAATCATTGTTGGGGTAGGCCCTCCAGAACGTGCTACCTGCACCATCGCATCACCCACTCTTTCCCTGCTGCTCCAAACATCACTACACCCCTACTCACTCACTCACTCACTCACCCTGAATCCTCCGACCCAGCAGCCACGTTATCAATGTAATCATTGTTGGGGTTGGCCCTCCAGAACGTGCTACCTGCACCATCGCATCACCCACTCTTTCCCTGCTGCTCCAAACATCACTACACCCCTACTCACTCACTCACTCACTCACTCACCCTGAATCCTCCGACCCAGCAGCCACGTTATCAATGTAATCATTGTTGGGGTTGGCCCTCCAGAACGTGCTACCTGCACCATCGCATCACCCACTCTTTCCCTGCTGCTCCAAACATCACTACACCCCTACTCACTCACTCACTCACTCACTCACCCTGAATCCTCCGACCCAGCAGCCACGTTATCAATGTAATCATTGTTGGGGTTGGCCCTCCAGAACGTGCTACCTGCACCATCGCATCACCCACTCTTTCCCTGCTGCTCCAAACTTCACTACACCCCTACTCACTCACTCACTCACTCACTCACTCACCCTGAATCCTCCGACCCAGCAGCCACGTTATCAATGTAATCATTGTTGGGGTTGGCCCTCCAGAACGTGCTACCTGCACCATCGCATCACCCACTCTTTCCCTGCTGCTCCAAACATCACTACACCCCTACTCACTCACTCACTCACTCACTCACCCTGAATCCTCCGACCCAGCAGCCACGTTATCAATGTAATCATTGTTGGGGTTTACCCTCCAGAACGTGCTACCTGCACTGCACCATCGCATCACCCACTCTTTCCCTGCTGCTCCAAACATCACTACACCCCTACTCACTCACTCACTCACTCACTCACTCACCCTGAATCCTCCGACCCAGCAGCCACGTTATCAATGTAATCATTGTTGGGGTTGGCCCTCCAGAACGTGCTACCTGCACCATCGCATCACCCACTCTTTCCCTGCTGCTCCAAACATCACTACACCCCTACTCACTCACTCACTCACTCACTCACCCTGAATCCTCCGACCCAGCAGCCACGTTATCAATGTAATCATTGTTGGGGTTGGCCCTCCAGAACGTGCTACCTGCACCATCGCATCACCCACTCTTTCCCTGCTGCTCCAAACATCACTACACCCCTACTCACTCACTCACTCACTCACTCACCCTGAATCCTCCGACCCAGCAGCCACGTTATCAATGTAATCATTGTTGGGGTTGGCCCTCCAGAACGTGCTACCTGCACCATCGCATCACCCAATCTTTCCCTGCTGCTCCAAACATCACTACACCCCTACTCACTCACTCACTCACCCTGAATCCTCCGACCCAGCAGCCACGTTATCAATGTAATCATTGTTGGGGTTGGCCCTCCAGAACGTGCTACCTGCACCATCGCATCATCCACTCTTTCCCTGCTGCTCCAAACATCACTACACCCCTACTCACTCACTCACTCACCCTGAATCCTCCGACCCAGCAGCCACGTTATCAATGTAATCATTGTTGGGGTTGGCCCTCCAGAACGTGCTACCTGCACCATCGCATCACCCACTCTTTCCCTGCTGCTCCAAACATCACTACACCCCTACTCACTCACTCACTCACTCACTCACCCTGAATCCTCCGACCCAGCAGCCACGTTATCAATGTAATCATTGTTGGGGTTGGCCCTCCAGAACGTGCTACCTGCACCATCGCATCACCCACTCTTTCCCTGCTGCTCCAAACATCACTACACCCCTACTCACTCACTCACTCACTCACTCACCCTGAATCCTCCGACCCAGCAGCCACGTTATCAATGTAATCATTGTTGGGGTTGGCCCTCCAGAACGTGCTACCTGCACCATCGCATCACCCACTCTTTCCCTGCTGCTCCAAACTTCACTACACCCCTACTCACTCACTCACTCACTCACTCACTCACCCTGAATCCTCCGACCCAGCAGCCACGTTATCAATGTAATCATTGTTGGGGTTGGCCCTCCAGAACGTGCTACCTGCACCATCGCATCACCCACTCTTTCCCTGCTGCTCCAAACATCACTACACCCCTACTCACTCACTCACTCACTCACTCACCCTGAATCCTCCGACCCAGCAGCCACGTTATCAATGTAATCATTGTTGGGGTTGGCCCTCCAGAACGTGCTACCTGCACCATCGCATCACCCACTCTTTCCCTGCTGCTCCAAACATCACTACACCCCTACTCACTCACTCACTCACTCACCCTGAATCCTCCGACCCAGCAGCCACGTTATCAATGTAATCATTGTTGGGGTTGGCCATCCAAAACGTGCTGGGCTTGTCGTCTGTGTGCTTATCGTACGACTCTTTAGAGGGGATAACCACCTTCACTGCAGGAAGGGCAGCAAGCGCGCAAGCAGCAAGCAAGAATCACATCACGGTTGCATACAGGCAGATTTTGAGGCAAGCAGATTTTAGAGGGGATAACCACCTTCACTGCAGGAGGGGCAGCAAGCGCGCAAGCAGCAAGCAAGAATCACATCACGGTTGCATACAGGCAGATTTTGAGGCGCCTCAAAAAAAGTTGCGGGTAATGAGACGACTTTTGAGGCGCCTCAAAAGAGGGGCAAGCAGCAAGCAAGGAATCACATCACATCACGGTTGCATACAGGCAGATTTTGAGGCTGCAGGGTGTTTTTGAGAATTCTAAAAAAACATACGCGAAACAATAACATGAATTTGACTTCTCCCATTACGCGTTCTGGGATCTTTTTGGAATTCCTAGAAAAACCCTCCATCCCCTGTCACGCCCTCTTTTACGCCCTCTCACGCCCTCTCACTCCTTCACACACCCTTTTGCTTGCCTTTCCTCCTCTCTCCTTCCTGCCCCACGTCCTCACTCTAGCCCACAAAACAAGAACAACCCACCTTTCCTCACGCTAATCCCAAGGTTCCTCTTGAATGAATTATTATTCTCTGAGCCTCTCCTCCACCAGGAAGCAGTGCCCCTTGGGATTACCCTCCACACTCTCTCACTATCACACCCCAAACAAGCACCCACCTTTCCGCATGCTGATCCCAAGGTTCCTCTTCAACACATTGTTATTCTCCGACCCTTCCTCCACGAGGAAGAGGCAGTGCCCCTCCACGAGGAATAGGCAGTGCCCCTCCACGAGGAAGAGGCAGTGCCCCTCCACGAGGAAGAGGCAGTGCCCCTCCACGAGGAAGAGGCAGTGCCCCTCCACGAGGAAGAGGCAGTGCCCCTCCACGAGGAAGAGGCAGTGCCCCTCCACGAGGAAGAGGCAGTGCCCCTCCACGAGGAAGAGGCAGTGCCCCTCCACGAGGAAGAGGCAGTGCCCCTCCACGAGGAAGAGGCAGTGCCCCTCCACGAGGAAGAGGCAGTGCCCCTCCACGAGGAATAGGCAGTGCCCCTCCACGAGGAAGAGGCAGTGCCCCTCCACGAGGAAGAGGCAGTGCCCCTCCACGAGGAAGAGGCAGTGCCCCTCCACGAGGAAGAGGCAGTGCCCCTCCACGAGGAAGAGGCAGTGCCCCTCCACGAGGAAGAGGCAGTGCCCCTCCACGAGGAAGAGGCAGTGCCCCTCCACGAGGAAGAGGCAGTGCCCCTTGCCCTCTCAGCAGAATCACTTCTGAGCGCGCCCAAACTCATTATGTCTCAACAACCCCTCACACCAACAGCTCCCCACCCACCTTTCCTAACGCTGATCCCCAGGTTCCTCCAAAACACATTATAATTCTCCAGCCCCTCCTCCTCCACCGGTTTGCAGTGCCCCTTGCCCTCAGTCAAAGCAGTTTTTAAGCCCGCCCACCCTTTCTATGTCCCACAACACCAACCCGCACCCACCTTTTCTCACGCTGATCCCCAGGTTCCGCCTGAAAACGTTATTGTTCTCCGAGCCTTCCTCCACCAGGAAGCAGTGCCCCTTGCTCTCGTATGTCACCGTGTCTTCAATCGTCATGTTGCTCGTTGCATGGATCACCACACAGCGCTGCCAAGGGTTTAAATGGTGCAGAGAGGGGTTTGAGTGGATTGGGGTTGGTGCATGGTCAGGTCACCTTGCTCTCCCACCCTTCCTCCACCAGGAAGCAGTGCCCCTTGCTCTCGTATGTCGCCGTGGGACGGGGGACAGTTGGTATACAAGCAGTGCCCCTTGCTCTCGTATGTCGCCGTGGGACGGGGGACAGTTGGTATACAAGCAGTGCCCCTTGCTCTCGTATGTCGCCGTGGGACGGGGGGACAGTTGGTATACAAGCAGTGCCCCTTGCTCTCGTATGTCACCGTGTCTTCAATCGTCATGTTGCTCGTTGCATGGATCACCACACAGCGCTGCCAAGGGTTTAAATGGTACAGAGAGGGGTTTGAGTGGATTGGGGTTGGTGCATGGTCAGGTCACCTTGCTCTCCCACCCTTCCTCCACCAGGAAGCAGTGCCCCTTGCTCTCGTATGTCGCCGTGGGACGGGGGACAGTTGGTATACAAGCAGTGCCCCTTGCTCTCGTATGTCGCCGTGGGACGGGGGACAGTTGGTATACAAGCAGTGCCCCTTGCTCTCGTATGTCGCCGTGGGACGGGGGACAGTTGGTATACAAGCAGTGCCCCTTGCTCTCGTATGTCGCCGTGGGACGGGGGACAGTTGGTATACAAGCAGTGCCCCTTGCTCTCGTATGTCACCGTGTCTTCAATCGTCATGTTGCTCGTTGCATGGATCACCACACAGCGCTGCCAAGGGTTTAAATGGTGCAGAGAGGGGTTTGAGTGGATTGGGGTTGGTGCATGGTCAGGTCACCTTGCTCTCCCACCCTTCCTCCACCAGGAAGCAGTGCCCCTTGCTCTCGTATGTCGCCGTGGGACGGGGGACAGTTGGTATACAAGCAGTGCCCCTTGCTCTCGTATGTCGCCGTGGGACGGGGGACAGTTGGTATACAAGCAGTGCCCCTTGCTCTCGTATGTCGCCGTGGGACGGGGGACAGTTGGTATACAAGCAGTGCCCCTTGCTCTCGTATGTCACCGTGTCTTCAATCGTCATGTTGCTCGTTGCATGGATCACCACACAGCGCTGCCAAGGGTTTAAATGGTGCAGAGAGGGGTTTGAGTGGATTGGGGTTGGTGCATGGTCAGGTCACCTTGCTCTCCCACCCTTCCTCCACCAGGAAGCAGTGCCCCTTGCTCTCGTATGTCGCTGTGGGACGGGGGACAGTTGGTATACAAGCAGTGCCCCTTGCTCTCGTATGTCGCCGTGGGACAGGGGACAGTTGGTATACAAGCAGTGCCCCTTGCTCTCGTATGTCGCCGTGGGACGGGGGACAGTTGGTATACAAGCAGTGCCCCTTGCTCTCGTATGTCGCCGTGGGACGGGGGACAGTTGGTATACAAGCAGTGCCCCTTGCTCTCGTATGTCGCCGTGGGACGGGGGACAGTTGGTATACAAGCAGTGCCCCTTGCTCTCGTATGTCACCGTGTCTTCAATCGTCATGTTGCTCGTTGCATGGATCACCACACAGCGCTGCCAAGGGTTTAAATGGTGCAGAGAGGGGTTTGAGTGGATTGGGGTTGGTGCATGGTCAGGTCACCTTGCTCTCCCACCCTTCCTCCACCAGGAAGCAGTGCCCCTTGCTCTCGTATGTCGCCGTGGGACGGGGGACAGTTGGTATACAAGCAGTGCCCCTTGCTCTCGTATGTCGCCGTGGGACGGGGGACAGTTGGTATACAAGCAGTGCCCCTTGCTCTCGTATGTCGCCGTGGGACGGGGGACAGTTGGTATACAAGCAGTGCCCCTTGCTCTCGTATGTCACCGTGTCTTCAATCGTCATGTTGCTCGTTGCATGGATCACCACACAGCGCTGCCAAGGGTTTAAATGGTGCAGAGAGGGGTTTGAGTGGATTGGGGTTGGTGCATGGTCAGGTCACCTTGCTCTCCCACCCTTCCTCCACCAGGAAGCAGTGCCCCTTGCTCTCGTATGTCGCCGTGGGACGGGGGACAGTTGGTATACAAGCAGTGCCCCTTGCTCTCGTATGTCGCCGTGGGACGGGGGACAGTTGGTATACAAGCAGTGCCCCTTGCTCTCGTATGTCGCCGTGGGACGGGGGACAGTTGGTATACAAGCAGTGCCCCTTGCTCTCGTATGTCACCGTGTCTTCAATCGTCATGTTGCTCGTTGCATGGATCACCACACAGCGCTGCCAAGGGTTTAAATGGTGCAGAGAGGGGTTTGAGTGGATTGGGGTTGGTGCATGGTCAGGTCACCTTGCTCTCCCACCCTTCCTCCACCAGGAAGCAGTGCCCCTTGCTCTCGTATGTCGCCGTGGGACGGGGGACAGTTGGTATACAAGCAGTGCCCCTTGCTCTCGTATGTCGCCGTGGGACGGGGGACAGTTGGTATACAAGCAGTGCCCCTTGCTCTCGTATGTCGCCGTGGGACGGGGGACAGTTGGTATACAAGCAGTGCCCCTTGCTCTCGTATGTCGCCGTGGGACGGGGGACAGTTGGTATACAAGCAGTGCCCCTTGCTCTCGTATGTCGCCGTGGGACGGGGGACAGTTGGTATACAAGCAGTGCCCCTTGCTCTCGTATGTCACCGTGTCTTCAATCGTCATGTTGCTCGTTGCATGGATCACCACACAGCGCTGCCAAGGGTTTAAATGGTGCAGAGAGGGGTTTGAGTGGATTGGGGTTGGTGCATGGTCAGGTCACCTTGCTCTCCCACCCTTCCTCCACCAGGAAGCAGTGCCCCTTGCTCTCGTATGTCGCCGTGGGACGGGGGACAGTTGGTATACAAGCAGTGCCCCTTGCTCTCGTATGTCGCCGTGGGACGGGGGACAGTTGGTATACAAGCAGTGCCCCTTGCTCTCGTATGTCGCCGTGGGACGGGGGACAGTTGGTATACAAGCAGTGCCCCTTGCTCTCGTATGTCGCCGTGGGACGGGGGACAGTTGGTATACAAGCAGTGCCCCTTGCTCTCGTATGTCGCCGTGGGACGGGGGACAGTTGGTATACAAGCAGTGCCCCTTGCTCTCGTATGTCACCGTGTCTTCAATCGTCATGTTGCTCGTATGTCACCCTTCCTCCACCAGGAAGCAGTGCCCCTTGCTCTCGTATGTCGCCGTGGGACGGGGGACAGTTGGTATACAAGCAGTGCCCCTTGCTCTCGTATGTCGCCGTGGGACGGGGGACAGTTGGTATACAAGCAGTGCCCCTTGCTCTCGTATGTCGCCGTGGGACGGGGGACAGTTGGTATACAAGCAGTGCCCCTTGCTCTCGTATGTCGCCGTGGGACGGGGGACAGTTGGTATACAAGCAGTGCCCCTTGCTCTCGTATGTCGCCGTGGGACGGGGGACAGTTGGTATACAAGCTGTGCCCCTTGCTCTCGTATGTCGCCGTGGGACGGGGGACAGTTGGTATACAAGCAGTGCCCCTTGCTCTCGTATGTCGCCGTGGGACGGGGGACAGTTGGTATACAAGCAGTGCCCCTTGCTCTCGTATGTCGCCGTGGGACGGGGGACAGTTGGTATACGAGCAGTGCCCCTTGCTCTCGTATGTCGCCGTGGGACGGGGGACAGTTGGTATACAAGCAGTGCCCCTTGCTCTCGAACGTCACCGTGTCTTCAATCGTCATGTTGCTCGTGGCATGGATCACCACACAGCGCTGGGAAGGGTACACAGGGGGTTTGGATCGGTTAAAATGGTTATAGAGGGGAGTGGAATGGTAATAAGCAGTGCCCTTGCTCTCATACGTCACCGTGTCTGCAATCGTCATGTTGCTCGTCGCGTGAATCACCACACAGCGCTGAGGGGGGGGTGTAAATGGAAGAGAGAGGAATCCAAATGGTAAAGAATGGGGTTTGGATGGAAGCAGGACACACTTTGCTGTATTTACGGCGGATATAAAATACAATACAATTGATACAAGTAAAGTGCGTTTTTGAACGTCTAAAAAATACACTTATTACCTGAATCCACCCTTCACCTGCTTGCTATTAACGATCGCATTCTTGCGCACGACATGACTCTGATTCGCCTCCCCACACACGTGGAAGTGCAGCAGGTAGCGCCCCAGCACGCCCCAGCATGCGCGCGGTCAAAACATAAGTTGTTACTGTGCTTATTCATTCTACTATGCAAAACCATCTCCTGCTTGCTGCTTTGCTGCCCACCTGCTTATTTATTACGTTACACCGTCTCACCTGCTTGCTGCCTACTCCTCACCTGCTTGCTGCCTACTCCTCACCTGCTTGCTGTACACAATCGCATTCTTCCGCACGACGTGGCTTTGATTCGCCTCTCCACACACGTGGAAGTGCAGCGGGTACCGCCCCAGCACGCCCTGCTGTCCCATATAAGCAAACTGAACTCCTTCGATGAATTGAGGGGTCTGGGTCATAAACACCATGAAATGACCGCCTGGGAGAGGGAAGGAGGGGTGCAATGCGGTGCAGAGGGACGGAGGGGTGCAAGTAATCTCAAACAGTGGAAGTGCAGCGGGTAGCGCCCCAGCACGCCCTGCTGCCCCATACAAGCAAACTGAACTCCTTCGATGAATTGAGGGGTCTGGGTCATGAAGACCATGAAGTGCCCTCCTGAGAGGCAAGGAGAGAGGGACGGAGGGGTGCAGTGTGGTGAGAGGAAGGAAAATTGAACCTTCACAAACGGTGGAAGTGCAGCGGGTACCGACCCAGCACGCCCTGTTGCCCCATGTAGGTGAATTGAACTCCTTCGATGAATTGAGGGGTTTGGGTCATGAAGACCATGAAGTGACCTCCTGAGAGGGGTTGAGGGAAGGACGGAGGGATGCAATGTGGTGAGACAAAGGCTTTTTTAGCCCCCCTCTTCACGTGTGGAGTGGAAGTGCAGTGGGTAGCGCCCCAGCACGCCCTGCTGCCCCATGTAAGCGAACTGCACCCCCTCTATAAACGGAGGGGTCTGGGTCATGACGACCATGAAGTGCCCTCCTGCCTGTACCCTCTGCAGGATTTTTGAGGCGCCTCAAAAACCCTCTGCAGGGGGGTGTGAGGGAGTGGTTTTTGAGGCGCCTCAAAAACCCTCTGCAGGGGGGTGTGAGGAAGTGGTTTTTGAGGCGCCTCAAAAACCCTCTGCAGGGGGGTGTGAGGGAGTGGTAGACAGAGTGATCTTAGGGACTTGTCTAAGTGGGTACCGTACCGCCCCAGCAGTACCCTCTGCTGTTTTCCAGACCAACACCCCCTACCCTGCCCTCCAGCACGGTCACCATTCATTATAGTCACACCGACCTTCCAGCTCGTATTTCCCCGTCTCATGCACCCCGTAGATCACGATGTTGCGGTGCAGCAGCCCCACCTCTCCTCTCACGTCCACCGCCCCTCCGAACCCGTCCAGCACGGCCTTGGGATTGCCGTCGTGGGAATACTTTAGGGGGCCTGAAAGCAATATGCGGTAGCCCTGAGGGTGGGGGGAAACTGGGGGGGGAGAGAGGGGGAAAAGAGGGAAAGGGAGGGAGCAGGGAGATGACAATGATTCGGTGTGTTCCGGTGCAGCAGCCCCACCTCCCCCCTCACGTCCACCGCCCCTCCAAACCCATCAGGGATGGCCTCGGGATTGCCGTCGTGCGAGTATTTGAGAGGGGCTGGGAGTGTTACGCGGTAGCCCTGAGGGTGGGGGGAAACTTGGGGGGGAGAGAGGGGGAAAAGAGGGAAAGGGAGGGAGCAGGGAGATGACAATGATTCGGTGTGTTCCGGTGCAGCAGCCCCACCTCCCCCCTCACGTCCACCGCCCCTCCAAACCCATCAGGGATGGCCTCGGGATTGCCGTCGTGCGAGTATTTGAGAGGGGCTGGGAGTGTTACGCGGTAGCCCTGAGGGTGTCGGGTGACTGGGGGATGGTGGAGGGGAAAAAGGTAAGGGAAGAATGGGTCGGACCAGAGAAACCCTGTACGCTACGGCCTCACGTCATTTCCCCGTTTCCTCCACCTGCTATATCGCAATGATTTGGTGTGTTTCCGGTGCAGCAACCCCATCTCCCCCCTCACCTCCACCACCCCTCCGAACCCGTCAGGGATGGCCGTGGGATTGCTGCCATGGGAATACTTTAGAGGGGTGGTGAGTGCAATAGAGCACCATGTAGGTGCCATGGTTTCAATACGTGGCCACGGCGTATGGCCGTGGGATTGCTGCCATGGGAATACTTTAGAGGGGTGGTGAGTGTTATGCGGTAACTTTGAGTGTGAGGGGCGACTGGGTGAGAAGAGAAGGGGAAGGGAAGGGAAAAAATGGGTATGAATGGGAAGAGAAGGGGAAGGGAAGGGAAAAATGGGTATGAATGGCAAGAGAAAGGGAAGAGAAGGCAGGGAAAGAGAAGGCAGGGAAAGAGAAGGCAGGGAAAGAGAAGGCAGGGAAAGAGAAGCATGCAATCCATATGGCTGTCATGGTAGTAGTACTTGAGGTGGGAGGAGGGAGGAGGGAGGAGGGAGGAGGGAGGAGGGAGGAGGGAGGCGGGAGGAGGGAGGAGGGAGGAGGGAGGAGGGAGGAGGGAGGAGGGAGGCGGGAGGAGGGAGGAGGGAGGAGGGAGGAGGGATGGCGGGAGGAGGGAGGAGGGAGGAGGGAGGAGGGATGGCGGGAGGAGGGAGGAGGTGAGGAGGGATGGAGGGAGGAGGGAGGAGGGAGGAGGGAGGAGTTTGGCATCGTAGGAATGATTGGGTAGCTCAGAGCTACGGTGAGGAGGGGGGCTGTGAGCGATATACAGTGACTTCTATTGGGGGCTGTGGGCGATATACAGTGACTTCTATTGGGGGCTGTGAGCGATATACAGTGACTTCTATTGGGGGCTGTGAGCGATATACAGTGACTTCTATTGGGGGCTGTGAGCGATATACAGTGACTTCTATTGGGGGCTGTGAGCGATATACAGTGACTTCTATTGGGGGCTGTGAGCGATATACAGTGACTTCTATTGGGGGCTGTGAGCGATATACAGTGACTTCTATTGGGGGCTGTGAGCGATATACAGTGACTTCTATTGGGGGCTGTGAGCGATATACAGTGACTTCTATTGGGGGCTGTGAGCGATATACAGTGACTTCTATTGGGGGCTGTGAGCGATATACAGTGACTTCTATTGGGGGCTGTGAGCGATATACAGTGACTTTTGAGTCGACTCAAAAGTCACCTAGCTACCATGAGGAGGGGGACTGTGAGGTAGCTCAGATATACGGTAGCTCTGAGGTTGGGGACGATTGGGTGGGGTGGAGGGGATGTGAACAGGAAGGAGTCACGAGGTGACTTTTGAGCTGAGTCAAAAGTTACTAGGAAGGAGTCACTTCTGAGAATTCTCGGGAGGGAGGTTGGATGGGATTGAAGTGAACCGAACTGTGTCTAGACACACTTTTCCGCTACTAATACCCTGTGTAGTGTTTTTCATACAACCACACCGCAGTGCACCACATCAAACAGCACCAAGCCGAACCAAACCAAACTGAACCGCGCTCCACCCATACACACCTCCTGCAATCACTGCCTTTTCGGCTTCGTCCATCTTCGCACTCGTAGACGCAATCGCAATCTCGCCGCCCACCGGCCACGTGCTGACATCAGCGTCCACCACGATCTCCTTCTGGCCGGCGATCGACGTCTTATTCAAGCGCACCCACACCGGCATGGAGGGCGGGCCTGGGAGGCCGTGCAAGTCCACCTGCCCTCCGACCTTGGTGGTGGGAAAAAGGAGAGAAGTAGAGGGGTGGAAAAGGGTGGAGAAGGAAGAGGAAAAGGAAGAGGAAAAGGAGGCGGTTCTTCTGTTTAAGTGCACCCACCCTGCCACTGGCATGGACAGCGGGCCTGGGAGGCCGTGCAAGCCCACCTGCCCCCCCACCTTGGCGTGGGGGAAGAAGAGAGAAGAGGGAGAGGAGAGAGGGGACGGATAGGGTGGAAGGCAGGGGAAGAAGGGGTAAAACGAAGGGTTCTATTCACGAAGGGTTCAAGTGATTTCACCGCAGGGAGGATATGTTGATATCACTTTTGAGAATTCTCATAAGTGATTTCACCGCAGGGAGGATATGTTGATATCACTTTTGAGAATTCTCATAAGTGATTTCACCGCAGGGAGGATATGTTGATATCACTTTTGAGAATTCTCAGAAGTGATTTCACCGCAGGGAGGATATGTTGATATCACTTTTGAGAATTCTCATAAGTGATTTCACCGCAGGGAGGATATGTTGATATCACTTTTGAGAATTCTCATAAGTGATTTCACCGCAGGGAGGATATGTTGATATCACTTTTGAGAATTCTCATAAGTGATTTCACCGCAGGGAGGATATGTTGATATCACTTTTGAGAATTCTCATAAGTGATTTCACCGCAGGGAGGATATGTTGATATCACTTTTGAGAATTCTCATAAGTGATTTCACCGCAGGGAGGATATGTTGATATCACTTTTGAGAATTCTCATAAGTGATTTCACCGCAGGGAGGATATGTTGATATCACTTTTGAGAATTCTCATAAGTGATTTCACCGCAGGGAGGATATGTTGATATCACTTTTGAGAATTCTCATAAGTGATTTCACCGCAGGGAGGATATGTTGATATCACTTTTGAGAATTCTCATAAGTGATTTCACCGCAGGGAGGATGTGCATCCGTACATGTTACATGCACGTTAGTACGCCCCACTCACAGCACTACCACCTCTCACCACAGCAAACACCTTGTGGGCCAGAGGCCTGGGAAAGGCGGGTTCGGGCGGGGGGAAGAGCGTGAAGCCATACTCTCTCCTCTGCCTGCCTCTTACTGGGAGTGTTGAGGAACCGAACACACATTCACCACTACTCACCACTACTCACCACAGCAAACACCTTGTGGCCCAAGGGCCTAGGGAAGGCAGGTTCGGCCGGGGGGAAGAGCGTGAAGGCGTACTCTCTCCTCTGCCGCCCGCTGTTGGGCGTGAGCGTGAACAGTGCCTGGGCGGCAAACTGCTTGTCCTTTTCCCCCACCGTCAGCCGCCCGGTGACTATAATGAAGTTAGCACGGACCTCAATGCGCGGCAGGCGTGGCTTATTGTCTAGGACCCTGATGGATGAAGGGAGGTGATGAGGATGTGATGTGACAATAACGAATAAAAGGGATCCTAACAAAGAGTACTATAATGAAGCTAAGCCACGCCACACGGCACAACAGCAGCACCACCAGCACCACCAGCACACTTTCCTCTCCCAGTACTCACTTCAACCACCCGTGCACGTGTAGCGTGTCGAGGGTCACATTCGCCACATCCACCCGCACAGCCATGCTACTCACACGGCACAGTGCCATCGCCTGCTGTGTTTTGAGTTGAACTATCTCCTTCCCTCGCACTCACTTGAGCCATCCGTGCACGTGCAGAGTATCAAGGGTCACATTTGCCACGTCCAGCAGCACAGCCATGCCGCACACACGGCACAGCAGCAGCAGCAGCAGCAGCAGCACCACTATAAAGCATACTCTTACTTGAGCCATCCGTGCACGTGTAGCGTGTCGAGGGTCACATTCGCCACGTCCAGCAGCACAGCCATGCCACACGGCACTGTCACGTTGCGTCCTGCCCTTGACCGCACCCCAGGGGGGTCCCTGCTGCCCTTGAAAGCCGCCCCCCATACAGTCACATCGCTCCATTTACTCCACCCTGGTTGGCGAGATTGTGAAGGGGGAGAGGGCGGAGAGAGAGGGGAGAGAGTGGAGCGTTGAGAGTAGCATAGCACAGCCATGCCGCATGGCTGGATTTTTTAGTCGACTCAAAAAGCAGCACAGCACAGCCATGCCACATGACTGGCACTGTCACGTTCCCTCCTGCTCTTGACCGCACCCCAGGGGAGTCCCTGCTGCCCTTGAACGCTGCCCCCCATACAGTCACGTCACTCCGCCTGCTCCACCCTGGTTGGTGTGATGAGGAGAGGGCGGGACGAGAAGTGGGGAAACCGAGGGGTGAGAGAGGTGAGAGGGGAAGAGAGGGAGAAGCGGGGACAGGAAGACAGCAAGTAATCAATGGGGGCTGCTTGAAACGGATTGCTGCCCCTCTATGCTACCACCCCCCATACAGTCACATCGCTCCGCCTGCTCCACCCTGGTTGGTGTGATTGTAGCGAGGGGAAGACGGGGAGAGAGGGTCAGTAAGAGAAGGAAAGCGAGCAGCACAGCACAGCCATGCCATGGGGCACAGTAGCGCTCCTTCCTGCTCTTCATCGCAGCCCAGGGGGGTCCCTGCTGCCCCTGAAAACTGCCTCTGAAAGCTGCCCCTGAAAGCTGCCCACCATACAGTCACATCGTCCCAACTGCTTCTCCTGCTCTACCTGGTGAGATGGTGAGAACGAGAGAGAGGAGGGAGAGGGTTGGGAGGAACAGTCACTTTCCCTCCTGCTCTTGACTGCACCCCATGGGGGTCCCAGCTGCTCCTGAAAGCTGCCCCCCTTACAGTCACATCGCTCCACCTGTTCCCACCTGGTTGGTGTGATTGTAACGAGGAGAAGGTGGGGAGATAGGGACGGGAGGGGAGAGGAGAGAGGGACGGCAAGAGAAGGGATAAAGGGGAGAGGGGGAGAGGGGAAAGAGGAAGGGGAGAAAGGGGAGAGCAGGGGACGGGGAGAAGCAGCACGCACTAAGGCGGAGGCTGCGTGCGCTCATGGGCGGAACGTACCTCCGGGGGGTCCGCTCATGGGCGGAAGCGGGCACGACGGGCGGAACACGTCCAGCACGCTCATTGGCGCAGCGCGCGCAGAAGCCACGCCGCCGGGGAAGAGAAACGGCGCGCGGAACGATGATGGTGGCGCTGGGGAGAACGGCGCGGGGAAGAGGAGGAGCGCGACAAGGGGGAGGAGCAGAAACCCGTCGGCGGAGGGAAAGAGTGTATTGCGGAAGTTTCGGGGGGAGCGGCCATGGCGGAAGGAGCGGAAACTGCGGGGACTCCTCGGATGAGAAAGATAAGGAGCTGGGGCTGGGGGGGCCATGATCCAATATATCTCGCGGTGCTGCGCGCGTGGCGTGCACGTGCTGCACACGTGGCGCCTCACGTGCTGCTGACGTGGCTAAAGCCGAATTGCGTGATTCTCACGGGGGATGAATCTCTGCACTTTAGTCCCACGCGTGCGCTACTTGCGACAGGGAACTTCTGTCGCACTAACATTGGCCTGGAGTCACGTAGTCACTGCATCCGCCGCGACAGCCCACGGTCAACGAAATTCAAAGGTAAAGTCCATACGGGGCTCATGGGTGCGCGACGCAGGGACGGTACAAGTAGTGCGTTAGTCGCCCGCACGATTACAGCTCGGATTCAGCTTGGAACGAGGACAGAGACGGAGAAAGGCGGCGAGGAGAGGAAAAGTGCGACGCGTGTGGGTCAGTTGCGCTAGTCAGGCTCGTGTTGGGGCTGCACAGCGCTTTGCGAGAACGAGCGAAAGTCGCCACTGGCAATAAACAGATTCGCAACTCTCGGGATAGGGTAACCCGTGCTGCAAGCTTCACGCTCAGCCAGTTGGCTGTTCCAAGTTGCGTTGTTGGTGGCACCAGTATTACCCCTCGCTACACGCCGCACGCCGAATGTAACCGTCCTATGCCCCGGTTAATCCCCACTCCTTTCCAAGGAAACCTACTCCAAGCCAGCCTTCCCCACCAAAACAACCAACAACCCGACAACAAGCAATGAACCTTCCGTTTTCGTTCTCCCAAATTCCGCCCTTCGCACCGACACGGGAGTACATCGTGGCCGTCCAGTTTCCTAGCCGTCAGAAGATCACATCTCCAGATCGTGGCTCCTGGCGGAACTCATGCGCACTTCCGACCCGCAGTGGTGCTGTGTGGTGCAAAGCCGTACCAGACCTCAACCAACCTCTGCCAGATACCGCTTCCCTTGCAGCAACCCAAACCTCATTTGTACAGTGGCTAGTCTTGTACGCGGTATGCGTGTGACGCAAAGTATGAAAAGTTGTTTTCTCACAGCTAGTAATATATACCAGATTTTTTAAGTTCACATTTCGAATCTCATGTACTACAGTTTTCTCTGGAATTTCAGTGGAAGTCGTCTGACATACTCAGTTCTGCGACAAGAAGGGGACGTGAAAGACTCCAAACCTCTCATGGCTTCTCTGACGCGACCCGGTTTCCCGTACCAGAGACATTGCGGCACGGATGTTGTGCAGGACGCGAGTGCTATGCTGACCGTCCAAAACAAGTTTCCGACTTTCTGAGCCCAGAAACGCGAGGGAAACTTTCAGAAGCCAACCCCGAAACCAGATGTCCAGTTTTACCTGCCCGACAGGAAACAGTTCGGCGGGATTTTTTCTGCGCCACGAATCGAACCGCAGGGTCGATGCGCACAATCGACTCCGTGTCGCTAGAATCTCCTCTTGCCATCTTTCGAATGTTGGATAGCACTCTGTGTCCTGCCGAGCCGACGCGAGGCATGACTGCTTTTCGAGTGCACGGCAAGAAGAGCTGAGGCCTCTAAGGTTGCTTTGCTTCCGCCAGACTGTTTTGGTGGAAGGAAATGTAGTGCAATGCCAAAACCTTTCGTAGCAGTAAGGACACCGTCATACATGCCTTGACCAGCAGTCCTTTTGCTTCTCTGCATCCATTCCCGTTATGGCCCCATCCATCCATGCATGCCGCTCTCGTCAGCCTGACCACATGAATTGATGGGACAAAAACTCGTGAGTTCTTCAGCTGGAGCTGTTCTGCACAGGTCCGTTCGCACGTAGGCCTCGTGCTGCTGAAGCTGCTATTTCCCTCCGCCGCAAGGCACCCCTTTTTTCTCCAACCATTCGTCTGCTGCTCGTCCCCGCTAGGTTTACCCTCCCTGCATTCCAAATTCAGTTGTTCAAGCTTCACGAGCTATCAGTTTCACATACGCACGCATCGGCGCCTGACCAAGCGCGACTCACAGCCCACGAGGGGAAAGAGAGCAATCGTCTAGTTGCTACTGGTCCTCCTCTCTGCACCTTCCTTTCCGTCTAATCCAACGTGTGCCATGACGGGATCCAACCGTAATTAAGAAGCTCAAGTAGTCAGCTTAGCTTCGGTAGAGAAGGCGTTGAAGGATGCATGCTAGATACCGCTCCGTAACTTAGATGAAGACAGCGTAACGACAACTGAGCTCGACTTGTGCGTTCTCTGAAGGATAGAGCTATACACCAGAAGTATTACCTGCGTAATAGCAGGGATTTCTTCCTAGCATTAGCACACTCAACATACTCGTTGGTTGAAGAGCTCCCGAAGTGGGTGCGAGCGAAACCTAGAGAAGAAATAATAGGCGATGGGCTGGCTGAGTTGTTGCGGAGACGCTTCTAGCGCGGACGATCTCAACCACAGATGGCGAAAAGGGTCTTCGGAGCGGACTGTCGCAAATCCGAAAGTCGCTCCCGACATCGTCGAAGGTGCGCTGAACACACACTACCACCAGAGTCACACGCAAGTCAGCATCCTGCCTTGAGCCGTGGTCTGGAAACCTCCACAATGGCTCAAAACTTTACACTGATGAAGGTACACTGAACTCGCACTTCCCCCACAATCTCCGGACTTCTCCTTTCGGGACTTTGACGGCTGAAAGTCGGACCTGGTCGTTGTTTGCACTCGCAGGTATGACACCCTCACCCTCTTCCCGAAAGGGAGAAAGCGAAATGTCGCACGGCGACACAACCGCTAAGGCTGACGCGTCGCTCCGCTCGGATCGAGGCGCGAACTCTCCGCAGCAGAAGCAGCACGCGCAGCAGCAGGCACACCAGCAGCAGCAGCAGTCAGCAAGCAGCAGCAGCAGCAGCGGAACCCGATCAATTCAAACTTCGTCTGTTTCTCGGAGCGAGGACGGGGGAGCAGCGGTGCCGTCTGGTGGGGAGGCCGAGGTGACAGAAACTGAAACGGAAAACGCAAACGGACAGGCTCCTGCTTCTGCGGCCGCCACTTCCGCTGATGGCGAAACGCGAAGGGCAGACGGAGAGTCGCACGCGAGCGATCCTGCGTCGCAGCCGTCGCATCCGCCGCAGGCGTCGCAGCAGGTGTCGTTCAATCCGCTAGCAGGGGTCGCTCCATCGATCGCCGCGCAGACGTTCACGTTTCGCGAGCTCGAGCGTGCGACGGGCGGGTTTTCGAAGAAGAACTTTGTAGGGGAAGGCGGCTTCGGACGCGTTTATAAGGGAAAGCTGGAGTCTACTGGCCAGGTGAGTCGTTCGCTCCTTTTGATGTGCTCTGTTGCTGCTGCTGATGCTGCTGCCGGCGCTGCTGCTGGCGCTGCTGCTGGCACTGCTGCTTGTGTTGGTGCTGCTCTTCCCTTTTGAGTATTGCTTGTGAGAAGTGTAGTTTTTTTTTCCTTTTTACGATAAAACGAAGACCTAGCGAAGTTCAAAACTGTGGAAATATTAGGCTGTTTTCTTACGCTGACGAACGCCGTCAATTTCTAGATGCGTCAAGTGCGTACGTTGGCGGAAAACCTTTCACCTGCCAGCAGGGAAGCCTTGTTCACCTTGATTTCGTGAAAAAATCGTCTAGCTCTGTAAGACGAGCATTTCGTGCAGATGTTACTGATATTCATGTGTGTTTTGTGGATTGCTAAACAGTATCAGATCTTCCGGCGTTATCCCCGCTATTGTCCCCTTTTTGCTCCAAACAGATTGTAGCCGTGAAGCAGCTCGACCGTAACGGAATGCAGGGCAACAGAGAGTTTCTCGTGGAGGTGCTCATGCTGTCGCTGTTACACCACCCGCATCTCGTGAACCTGATTGGTTACTGCGCCGATGGCGACCAGCGGCTATTGGTGTACGAATTCATGGCAAACGGCGCACTTGAGGACCATCTACATGGTAAGAAAAAAATTCAAAATGCTATATCCGTCCCGCATACTGCACTCCGAACTGGGTCCTTAAAGCTTTTGTTTATTTTTGATTGATTTGCTGTATGAAGTCATTTGAGTCATTGTAATAAATTCTGCTATCTCAATACAGCACATAACGTTCGCAATGGTCGCACCCTAATCATTTGATCCACTTGGCTTCTTCTCGCCTACACGGGTTACAGACTTGCCGGAGGGCAAAGAGCCGTTGGAATGGAACATGCGCATGCACGTGGCTGCTGGCGCCGCCAAGGGCCTCGAATATCTACACGTCAAGGCGAATCCTCCTGTCATATATCGCGATTTCAAATCATCAAATATCCTTCTCGACGAATCATGGCACCCGAAGCTCTCCGATTTCGGCCTCGCGAAAACTGGGCCCGGTTGGCGACAAAACGCACGTTTCCACGCGAGTCATGGGAACGTACGGTTACTGTGCACCCGAGTACGCCATGACGGGTCAGCTTACAGTGAAGTCGGACGTGTACAGTTTCGGTGTCGTGCTTTTGGAGCTTATTACGGGTCGGCGGGCGATTGACATGAGGAGGCGACACGGCGAGCACAATCTAGTCGCATGGGTAAGCCACGTGGAAGCCAGTGGTTGGAAAGCCGAACTCAAGAGTTGTGGCTGCGGGGTGCAGGAGGAGGAAGGAGAGAGGGAGGAGAGAGGAGAGGGAGGGGGGTGTGTATGGTTATCACAATCGATGTGATAAAGAGCTGAATTCTATGAAGTACTTTCCATTGCACATGCCTTTCAGAGCTATACTCATATTCCACATCCCTCCCTCTCCACCTCCCCCCCTCCCCCACCCCCTCCCCTCCCTTCCCTCTCGCTCCTCCCCTTTCCCCCCTCCCCTCCGCCTCTCCCCCACCCTCCAGGCTCGACCACTGTTCAAAGACCGGCGGAAGTTTCCAGCCATGGCGGATCCTGGCTTGAGGGGGCGCTACCCGATGCGAGGGTTGTATCAGGCGCTCGCAGTGGCGGCGATGTGCTTGCAGGAGCAGGCAGCTCAGCGACCCATGATTGGCGATGTGGTTACCGCATTGAGCTACCTCGCCAACCAGCCGTTTGACCCGGATAAGGTCACTAGGTGAGTGGGGTGCTGGTGGGTGGGGTGGGGAGTGGTGCGGGGTTGTGGGGAGTGGGCGGATGTGTTTTTAATTTTGCTATGCGTTTTGCTCTACACAGAGGCTTAGGGTCTAGGTCTATTGAGAATGGCTTTCATATTCTTTTAACGTGTTTTGCTGTACCCTTTCAAGCATATTCTTCCCTTCTCCCCCATCGCTCCCTCCCCTGTTCCTTGAACCACAGGCCGCCACCTGGCACGCCGCAGCACAACCCAATGGACCGCCGGAGCAACTCCAGCGGAGGCGGGGGAGGGGGCGAGCGCAAGGGCTCGCGCTCCCCCGCCCCCCACCACCACGGGGGGGTGAGACGCTCCGCACTCTCCCCCATGCAATCACCTGATGTGAGGCACATGCACCACCACCACGTGAACCACCACCGGTTCTCGGAACGGGGCGAGGAGGAAGGAGGGGGAGGGTCTGTGGGTGCTGCTGCTGGGTCGGCTAGTCCAATGAGAGTGAGGGGTGGAGGGGGGTACAGAGAGGGGCCGGTGGGGTATAGGGAGAGTCCGGGGCATGGCGGGGTGGGGAGTGGAGGCAGGACGCGAAGAACCAGAAGGGGTATGGGGAGAATTGGAGGGCGCGAGGGGAGGAGAGAGTGGGAGGAGAAGAGGTAGATGAGGTGAAGGAGTGAGGGAGTGAGGAAGTGAAGGGAGCTAGGGCGCTTGGAAGAGCCATGAGCAATGCCTAGGGTGGGTGAGCTGGTTGTGGATTTCAGGAGGGGGGGAGGACTGAATAGAACGGAGGTTTAGGGCTCCAAGCTGGGGTGGCGAGGCGACAGTTTTCTGGGCGTGATGTGTCTGCAGCATGCTCAGGGCCATCGAGCTGGCAATTCCTTGTTAGAACAGCAGCTTGCTCGTTTTCCAACTAAGAGAACTAGAGAAAGATGATGGTATAGGCTATGGGATTGGTTGTTTCTTGCACGAACAGGCCTATTGAACAGCTGATATAATGCTGTATAGGAAGCGTTCGGGATATGGTTGGGATATGCATCGCTATGGGTGCCAAGTGCAGGGTTATAGCTTCTGTTGCAAGCAGGGGTTGTTGGGTAGAAGCAGTGTGGTTTTGTGTTGTGACCCCTTCGTGCTCTTCTAAAGAGCGACAATCTAAGTTCTCTTCACTTTTTCAAAACTTCTGTCCCCATACTAGCTCCACATTATGCAGAATGTGTCTTGGCTTCACATTAGCATATCGTTTTGTCTTTCCTAAAGTGAGTAAACTTCCAGAGGAGCTGTGGACACGAATAAGCAACTTATGTTTCTCAATCTTGTCGATCTACAGTATATCCTCTGCATTAGCTGTCAACGGTTTCAGTGTACAGTTGTTGCGTTGCCAGCCTTGTTCGTCCTGCCAGCCATTCCCAATGGTGGAGCAACTGGCTGGAGCAATACACCCTGTTTCTCGACCCTCTCACCTTGCGCGATTCGCTGCTACAGTGCGGTCAGGTACCATAAACCGTATGGCTGAAACCTGCGGGCAAAGCCGCACCAGCTGACGGAGTGGTACTGGGGGCAAAATTTTTCTTTATCGCTGTATACCCTTTTCAACCGCTTTGAAACGCTTGGTTAATGTTCTTTACATGCAGCATCCTAGCTAACCGCTTTCTTGTGAATGTGCTTGTACCGTCGGTGATAAGACCATTTCAAACGTGGTGACGTTCTACAACCAGTGCATGTTTCTGCAACCAGATGCTCTGCTAGCGCGAAACAGGGTGTATTTTCGCCTTGGGATGGGAGCACTGGCCTTGCTGCCATGGAGCTTGTCGTGGCCCAGCATCCAATCGACCATTATCGTTGGCGAAAATATGTACTGGGCTCAGACGAAAATATTTCCCTCCCGACGAGACAGCTCACCACGAAGCCAATGTCCTCAACGACATGGGTAACGCTTCGTGATAATCGCATAGAAGCAGGTCCTTTGTTCGTGGTACCTCAACATCCGCAACCATATCGCCATGTCGAGACTCATGACAGCCTGGCATTTTGGACTCTCTCGAAAAGGTGTCTGTTTGCGATTCACGCACCACGGTTATATTGGATGTGTTACGTTCTGAAACGGTGAAGCATTTCAGAACGTATGAAACAGTACTGAACGGTCAGTGGAGTAACTCCCAACCCAAGTACCTCCTCCTAGTAAGCCAAAGCAAGTTCCCTCCACTTGCGAGGCCAACATTAGGCGTTCTTGGCATCGCATTGTTGTCAGGCGTAGTAGGTAGCCGACTAATTAGGTCCCTGAAACTCGTCATCGTCAGGACTTTTCGTCAGGCAGGCCATTCGATGGGTGATCGCCTGCAGTACTCGTCAGCATAATTGCTAAGCTTGTGGCTGTTGGCTTCACGAGAGAGCAGTTTGTAGTCTTTGCGTGGTCTGAGGGCGTTCCCGGGTGTGGCTTGCATTTTTTAAATACGCTTTGACGGGATTGTGGTTGTTTCGTGCATTTCGCGAGGTTTCGTCGCTTAATACGTTCTGGCCTAAGCGTCCACTCTTATTTTGCGTCCCCCTCAGAGCTTGCAGTTTTGGTTTCGCCGTCAAGACACAGTCTCCATCTTGTTTTCTTCATCTGAGGTTATATTTATGCGACGATCTGCACCGTCAGATTGTCGATTAAGGACGGTTCAGGAGCTGTGCTTTCTCTCGCAACTCGTAGCTGAACCGTTTGCGACGTCTCAGACCTCGAGCACCGTCATGTTGTCGATCGACGATGGTTCGGAACCTGTTTTTCCTTTTCGGCGACGCCATAGCTAAACCTAAACTTTAATTTCAACCGGACCGACTAAGAGAAACAAGTCTCATGTCTATTACAGTTTCATGGCGACCACCTCAGCGAAATGAAATGCTGCGATTGGGAGGACTACCACGTCGGCACTGCCGTCGCCGCGCATTGCTGCTGCTCCTGCCAGCACTTCAATTTTCGTCCCGGAAAGCCTTTCGCCAAATTTGCCGTTCTCCTTCGTCTCCTCCTCATGCTGAAAACCCTACGATGACGTCATCATCCGTGTCGTCAACCCCGAGGTCCGGCGTGTTCCATCCTCCCTTCAGCAGCCCGCAGCTCAACATTTTTTCGCGCGCTTTCAGCAGCAGCCCTGCCAGCGATATTTCGGCTCGTTATAAGCGGTCTCGGCGACGGTGGGAATCGGTGACGCATATCCTCCCGTTATCTTGCTTCCGTAACGAAGATATGACGCTGGACCATGACGAACCTCCGCAACGTATCGAAACATCCACACCAACTAGGTCCGGCACGCACGGCTGGGGGAACGCCTAGGTCCGGCACGCCCAGGTCCCGTGCGTCCTGGTTCGGCACGTCTAGGTCCGGCGCGAAAGCTGATACTGTTCCGGAGCTTGTGTAGAGGTTCGGGAACGAGCCTGTGCTTCCGAGCCTGCCCCTTCTCGCGGAGAGGGAGCGGCTGATTCCAGTTCAGCGAGTAGAGATGCGGACGAAACGGGTAACCATGTCGCAGTGTCGGGTAACCATGTCGCAGAGCCGAGTAACCATGTTAGAGAAACAGGCGAAACGATGGAAGGTTCAGGGGATTCGGAGACTAAAGGGGAAGGTCGGGTGGCGAGGGACGGGGGGACGCAGGAGAATGGGATTGCAGCGATCCGAATGCCTAGCGCGGAGCTTGAACACGCGGGGATAGGGGAGCTGCGCGCGCATGAAGGGGTGGCTGAAGAGCCAGGAGGGGACGCGGGAGCCGCGGAAACGTCACTTGCAGAAGCAGGGGATGCGGAAATGTTAAGAGCACGGGAAGCGGAAGCGCCACGCGCGGAGGCAGGGAAGTGGAAGCACCACAAGCGGAAGCAGGGAATTCAGAGATACGAAAGGCGGAAGCAGGGGAAGCGGAAACATCACAGGCGAAAGCAGGGGGAGCGGAAACACCACAGGCGGAAGCAGGGGAAAGGGCGGGCAGCACTGGTGCTGACGTGGCTGTTCCTGGTGCTGAAACTGCTGCTGCTGTTGTGGGTGTGGCTGCTGCTTGTCCTGAAGATGCTGCTGCTGCTGAAGGTGCTGACGTGGTTAAGGCTGTGGCAACCGATGCTTGTCAAACGTCAATCACAGCAGCAGGTTGTAAGTGTAGAATTCCAAGGAGGCAGTGATTTAGGTGTAGCAGTTGACGAGTCTGTAGTTGTTGACGCGGATCATACTGTAACGTGTATTCCGGATTCTGCTGTGATTGTAGGTCTAGAAGAGAGCAATTCGGTAACGGTAGGTGTAGAGGAGAGTGTAACGGTTGGAAAGAGTGATGCTGTAGATGTAGCAGCAGGCGGGGACGTGGTTACCACAGGTAACGAGCCTGTTATATTTGTTACAGGTGCGGCAGTAGGTGTAGCAACAGGAGCGGCTGTAGCAACAGAAGAGGCTGATTCTGTGGATGTAGCAGCTTCCAACCCTGCAGCCTCCAACCCTGTAGCTTCCAACCCTGCAGCCTCCAACCCTGCAGCTTCCAACCCTGCAGCTTCCGACTCTGCACCCATTATCGCTCTAGAGGATGCTGCTGGCTCCGCTGCTGCTGCTGCTGCTGCTGCTGCGGCGTTTGCTCGTTCACCTAGGGGGGAATCCGAGCTCACCGCTTTCGGTCCTTCTCAGATGATGGCATTGTCTGAGGCCGAACCTGCGAGTCCGAACCTTACACCTAGGCTCGGGTGCCCAGGCTCGTGCTTCCCAGGGTCGGATCTGGAGCAGGAAGGAGTGTGGCCGAGGGGCAAAGGGCGGACGAGGCGCGTTTAGCAGCAGAGGAACGGGGAGAGAGGGGAGTGAGAGAAGCAGAGAAGTTGGATGGGAGGGAGAGGAGGGAGATTGAGGGGTTGGGGGGTCTTAGTCCGAGCTCCTTCGCTTCTACCCCTGGTGTACAGTCACGCGGCGTACAGTCACATCCCACGGACTCCCCCCTCTCCTCAGCCCCGTATTCCTCATTCACACACTCACCCCTCGATCCGCTCTTTTGCTCCCCCAGACTCTCCTTTTGGGGAATCCCCAACTCCGTCCTCTGAACCGCTCGTGCCGCACTCACACCCGCACCCGTCGCATCCCCCTTTCCTGCAGCCAGACTCGCCCTCCTCCCCCCAACCGCCCGTGCCACATTCGCACACTCACCCGTCGCGCGCACACCCGTCGCGCGCACACCCCGAATCCCTGCAGTCCCAATCTCACCACCCCCAATCCGTGCACTCTCAATCCCTGCAGTCCCAATCCCATCACACCCAAGCCTCTCGTTCCCAGTCGTCTCATTCACTACCAGATGCCGCTGTTCCCACCTCCTCCCCCCCTCCTGATACCGCCACTCCTAGAAGCCCCCCCTTCCGTCTCCCCCGTCCCCCCAAGCCGCCACTCCACCCCTTCCTCTCGCCACCCCCGTTACAATCCCTCTCTGGACCCCGCTCCCCCGCGCCCGCACTCCCCCGTTATAGGAACGTTCTCCTGGGGCGCGACTTATAGCGGGTTTCGCCCCCCAATTGCGCCCTCTAGGTCCGCGCGCACCCCCCCGTCCGCGCTGGGGGGGGGAGATGCGGGAGAGGAGGAGAGGGGGGAAGAGGCGAGGGTAGAAGGTCAGGTTCTAAGGGAGCGGTTAGTCTGAGCGATAGGATCAGGGGGAAGAAAGAAGCAAGAAGAGGGGGAGGAGCAGGAGATAGGGACCCGGCAGGTGAAGGGGATGAGGAAATTGAAGGGGAAACCCGCGCACAAGCCCGTATTTATCAATTCCCGGGGAGGATGACGAGGAGGGGAATCCACCCTGGAAATCAGGCGCGGCCGAACCTGAGCTCACGCCCCGGTCCAACTCCCTCCAAACGCCTGCTCCCCGTTCTCCCTGCTCCTCCCTTCGGATATCAACAGCCCGAAATGGGCCGGCAGAGGAACCGGTCAGCGGCAGAGGGCTGGGGAGTGGGTTAGGAGGAGTTGGGAGCTGGTAGCAGCAGGCAGAGCTGCCAAAAGCCAGTCTAGATACAGCCGGGGGCAGGGGCAAGCTCAGGGGGACGAACTTCTTGGGTTGGGGATAGCCCGGCCTGCTACAGCCCGGGGCGGCAGCACCCGCCGCCCTGCTACAGCCGGGCCGCTGGGGGAAGCAGCAGAGTCTGCTACAGCCGGGGGGTCTGTAGCAGGGACGCCTGTGGCGGGTACCCCCACTGCCCGCACCGCCCACGTTTGGGAGGAGGCTGAGGAGGCAGAGGGGGCCGTCTTTTGGCGGGTCTTCAGAGCTGCTGGGGCTTATGGGGAAAGGGGCGATCAAGGGCTTGCTGCGGGTTTGAAGAGTGTGCAGAGGTGGAGAGAAGGGGGGAGTGGAACGGGGAGTGATGTGGAGTGGGAGGGGGAGGGGGGGTGGGGTGGGGAGGGTTTGATTCGCCGAGAAACGGGGGAGAGTGGAAAAGGGGGAGGGGGGGAGGGAGGAGAGGCGGGGACTGGTGGTGCTGCGGGTGCTCTTGCTGCTGGCGGTAGCGGGAGCAGCAGGTCAGGTAGGAGGTCCCTTCTGTCGAGCTTTCTATCAGACTCATCAGACAAAGACAAGGACAGGGAGAGGCCTGGGTCCGCGTCTAAGAGGAGTCGTCTCCGAAGCAGCAGCTTCGGCTCGTTACCCTCCCCCGGGGGTGCTGGTGCGGGCGCAGGCTCGGGTGGTGGTTCGGGTGCAGGTGGCGGTGCTTCGGGTGGTGGTGCTGCCGGTGGTGGTGTGAGCAGAAGCAGCTTGGTTCTAGTTCCAACGGGGAGGAGGACGGGGAGGATTCAGAAGACTTGGTACAGGAGGGAAAGCTATGGGAGCAGCTAGAGGAGAAATACCAGGAGCCTCTCTCTGCTGAAGCTGCTGCCGCTGCCGCTGCAGCAGCCGCCGCTTCTGCTGCCTCTCCTGGCGCTGCTGCTGGTGGTTTCGGTGGTGCTACCCCTAATGCACCGTCCCAAGTGGCGCCTCCCCCTCTCTCGCCATGGCTCTCACCCGAAGCATGTCTCTGTCCCGCAATAAAGCCCTTTCCAGAGGTATGTCTATGGTTGCCAGTCGTAGCAGCAGCAGGGAGGCGGCGGATGAAGGGGAGACGGGTAGCGGCAGTGGGGGGAGAGACGGCGAAGGGGAGAAGCTGGGGGGGAGAGGTAGGCAGGGGCGGGCGCTGGGCGGGCGGCTTTGCCTAGGCCGAAAAGAAAAGGTGGATGAGGAGGGATGTGATAAAGGAGGAGACGAAGGAGGAGATTGAGGAGGAGAGGGAGGAGACGGAGGAGAAGCAGCAGGGTGGGTTTGTGGAGGCAGGAGAGGGCAGGGGGCGGAAAAGGAGGGTGTACAGGTAGGGAGCGGGGATGCTGAGGAGGAGTGGGAGGAATGAGGAGGTGAGGAGGATTCTGCGTAGCTTGGCAGGTGGGGAGGGAGGAGGAGCAGAAGGAGGAGGGGGAGGAGGAGTGGGAGGGGGAGGAGGGGAGGAAGAGGAGGAGAAACGGCCTTCTCTAGCTGTGATGTTTCAGCGGTCTATAAGCCTGAGGCTTGCACCTGGGGAGAGGCTAGGAGGGGGAGGGGGAGGGGGAGGAGGAGTAGGAGGAGGTGGAGGGAGACGGGATGGTGGCGGGGAGAAGTTAGGGGTTATGGATGCTTTTAGAAGGCAGGTCACGCTGAGAAGCAGGCCTGAACGGGTTGAGGAAGAGGAAGCCGGTGGAGAGCGGTTGGGAGGGATGGAGCTGAGAAAGCAGGTGACGTGGAGAGGGGACGGGAGGAGAGGCGAGGGGAGGAAGGGAGTGTTAGGGTTCAGGAGTCTTGCTGCTGCGGTTGCGGCTCTGGTGGGGGGTGGGAGGGCGTGAGGTGAAACACGGGAGTGGGGAGGGACAGGGGGAGGAGGGTAAGGGGAGTGGGGAGGGTAGGGCCGGGGAGGGTCAGGGAGAGGAGAGTGAGGGTGAGGAGGGGCGGAAGGATGGGGAGGAGAGTAGTGATGATGGGGAGAGGGAGACAGTGGGGGAGGAGGAAGGAAAGGAAGGGGAGAGAGGGGAGGAAGTGAAGGGGGAAGGGGTCAAGGAGGATGTAAATGAGGAAGGTAAGATGGACGAGGGTGCTGGTGCTGGTGCTGCTGGTGCTGGTGCTGGTGGGGTGGGGGATTTGGGAGGAGGAGAAAGAAAGTCAGAAGTTTTAATTGAAGTGACGCGAGAGGGGCAGCAAGGCAGGAACTTACTCCCACTCTCACTCCCTCACTCACTCCCACAATCACTCCCTCACTCACTCCCACACTCACTCCCACACTCACTCCAACACGCACCCCCAGCAGTAGTGCCAGGTTGACTGGCGTTGACTCAGCCACACTTGCCCATGAATCCGGTGTTGAGTCAGCTCAGGCGTTGACTGGCGTTGACTTGGCCACACTTGCCCATGAGTCTGGTATTGAGTCAACTAAGGCGTTGACTGGCGTTGACTCGGCTACTCTTGACCATGGTTCTGATGGTTCCCCTCTAGGGCCATCCAGAAGGGGAAGTTTCCACCAGCTTTCTCCAAAAGAAGGCTCACCATTGGTGGATAGTCAGGAAACGAGCTTTCAGCCAGAAGAGCAGCGGCAGGAGAAGCAACAGCAGCAGCAAGCAGCAGCAGCAGCAGCAGCAGCAGCAGCAGCAGCAGCAGCAGCAGCAGCAGCAGCAGCAGCAGCAGCAGCAGCAGCAGCAGCAGCAGCAGCAGCAGCAGCAGCAGCAGCAGCAGCAGCAGCAGCAGCAGCAGCAGCAGCAGCAGCAGCAGCAGCAGCAGCAGCAGCAGCAGCAGCAGCAGCAGCAGCAGCAGCAGCAGCAGCAGGAGCAGGAGCAGGGCAGGGGCAGGGGCAGGAACAGCAGCAGCAGGAGAAGCAGGAAGAGGGAAAATCGGAGAATCAGCCCCAAACGGAGGAGAATCAACAGCAGCAGCGGGGTGGCGGGGAGGGATCGGAGGGGAAGCAGCAGGCTTCAGGGAGGGCACAGAGGCTGCTGGTAAGGCACCAATCTCTAAGCAACAAGGCACTAGACGCTGCGAATCAGAGTATGGGTGTGGATTTGGGTTTGACAGGGCGTGATGATGCTGCTGCTGCCACCAGCAGCAGCAGCAATACCCCTGCGAACAACAGTGGCAACGGTGCTGGTGGGTTTGGTGGCAACCTGCCTTTGCTACGGACGAGTACAGAGAGAATCGTTCGGTCGACCCGCAGTTTGGCTGTTAAGAAGTATTTATCCCCATCTTCCTCGCTGGTTCGACGGGCAGGAGCAGCAGGGGGGGCAGAGGGAGCAGCAGAGAGAGCAGGGGCGGGAGCGGGGGGAGGGGAGGGATCGGGAGGAGAGGTGGGTGGGACGGGAGAGGAGGGTGAGTGTGAGGGTGGTGTGGCGGGGGTGGTTAGGGCGCGGCCTGGGGGGGGCGCGGCAGGAGTGTCGTTTTACTCGTTTGACCGGCATCGAATGGGGTGGCGGCGATGGAAGCGAAGAAGAGGGGGTGGAGAGGGGCGGAGAGGATTGGGGCGGATAGATTAAGGGTGGTTGGAGGGGGGGGGGCTGAGGTATGGGGAGCGGAGGGAGGGGCGGAAACGTGGAGAGTGGAGGGAGGGGCGGAGGTGTGGGGGGTAGGAGCAGAGGCGAGTGAAAGA